CACCACTCTGCTGTGTGACCTAGCAGGCGATTGCCTCCTCTCCTCCAAAATAAAAGCCTGTTCAGCATGCAGCTGAGCTCCATGTGCCCCCCCGTGCCTGCTTGCTCACACCCCTCCCCTTCTGCATTTGAGAATTTCAGCAATATGCTTATTTACAAAGCTGTTAGAAAGGGAGCAGAGCTCCTCTTGTCCATTTAAACCTTCCACGAGGATGTACTATCAATTAATGGTGTTCATTCAAACATCACTCAAACATTACTGCTCTCTCTCAGCCCACACAGGTGAACAGGCATTTATTTGCTTTTTTCATGCCCTAAAAATGCTGAGTTAATGAAACCAATCTTCTGTTTCACTTTGTATTTCAACTTGAGAACTGTATTAATAGAGAGAAAGCCATAATGGAAATCTAATTGCACAAGGAGGTATGAATGCAAAAAAGCACAGTGCAGCATTTACTGGTTCAAAATATCTGTTACCCCAGACAACTGTCCCTCCTTCCTGTCTGCAGTTCTGCTGCTTGGATGTGTGTTGACAAACAAACAATATTCCACCCTCAGATGCACAGCATCACTTGGCAAATGTGGGTGGCTTTCCTTCATATAATAAATATGAAAATAGCTTCCAATGACTCAGCTTGATTATCAGCAAAACACAGGAATCTAAAATAGCTTCAGTTTTCATCTATTTAACGCCAAGTTCACAACTTCACAAACAGAATTCATTTAGTAAATAGCATATTTGTCTTATACACCCTCCCAAATATAGAAGTAGCTCTACTGAAAAGCAGCATTGCTCCCTCTTCATAAGTTTTCAGTAACAGAAATTATCATGTTTTTTATTTCAGCAGTTTTAATTAGCTTGCTTACTCTTAGAACACACACTCATGCAGTCAGCTACCAAAATTGCATCCTCCCCTCACCTTACTCCACGAGTACCCCCACGAGCTGGGGGAGAGATCTCAGCTCCAGAATTCTGGCTTTAAGATCCTGTTTTGATTTCCTTCCAGCCCAAAACCACTACACCACCTCCACTGTCCCTAAATCTTGCTCTTCTGAGTCAAAATTCAGCATCAACAAGAAAGTTCAATGCCTTCCTTTGCCACAGGAACACCATCACAGTATCCCTTCATGCACAAATATAAACACACCTCGCAAAAACTGTGTGACTTACATTAAAAAATGAAGGTTTGCATCATATTAGGATATCACAATGATGAAAAGCATAAAAACCACACCAAAGCATTTTGGTTGCTAATAACTTTGGTTTGGATTATTGATTGCTATCAGCCTGTATTTTTCACGAGATAATGTTTTATTCTTAATCTTTACTGAAACTTGATTATAAAGTTTTCTGGAGTCCAAATCTGATTCAAAGTCAACTCAAATCCATGGAAAATCTGTACAGCTTCTGTAAAGGCCCTTCCAGATAATAATACCAAGGAAACCCATACAGCATGAATTTCTTGGAGGCTCTGTCCAATAGACTCTCTCTGTATCACATCCAACTAAAGATCATCACACAATGCCACTCAAAGGCAGCAGCTGACTAGCTGGCAATTACTGGCTCTTTCATGCTGAAAATTTATTTGTCCCAGGGGAATAAGGCATCTGCATAATTAGCAAAAGCAGCTACATAGAAAATAATTAGCTTGCTGAAAGCCCAAAGGGGGAAAAACTATAATTTTTGCTTCAAGAGGCTGACTAATTATATGCCAAATAACAAAACAGAGATGCACTGAGAATCATCAAGAAATCCAGCATGGATTTTAACTTCATATTCTAGCTATAAGGGCTGCTGGTAGCCTAGCAACAAGCAGCATACTTGGGCTTGCCAAAACCTCCTCCGACTTAATGAAACACCTCAGATTACTATGCAAACCTCCCCCACCCCACTATGAATTTGATTCTTGTGTTACTAAATGATAAAAACAAAGCCTATGGAAAAAAACAATCAAACAATTCAAGATAAACTCAAACAAGCACTAATGGACTACAGTATAGAAAGATAAGCCAAAACAAAGAATGAATTCTTTTCAGAGACTTGAAATTCAGTCTGATTAGAGTTGACTCAATAGATTTCTTCTTTGGGTTAATAAAATGTCCTATTATTTTAAGAAACTTTTCTAGTAGTCTGTGTAAGATTTCTGTTTGTGTCTTGGGAACCATTAGATATGAAACAAGTTAGAGCAACTCACTAATCTCCAAAGTACTGCTGATATACAAAGAGCGCTGCTGCAATCCCTTTCTTTCACTTGAATCCTCAGTGAACTGGTAGAGGAAGCTGTTACCCCAAACAGTAGTCTCAGAGCCAAGAGACCAGTTTTTACTGTGTTCCACCATTCTAGAAGCCACAGCTGCTGTCCCAGCTCCCCTGTACCACTGTGCTCTGCGGTAAGAGAGGTTTGACAACCACTTTCAAGTCTCGCTGTCATTAGCACAACTCTGAGTGACCTTTCTGCCAACAGCTCTTGGTTACCCACAAGAGAAGCACATTCACATAGTCACCCATCAAACCACTCTGCCAGATTCAAAGGGTTAACAAGACTGAGCTATTTCCACTATTTACTGAGAAAGGCAAATCTTTTGCATGTGCAATATCTATCACCATCTTCCCTGGTGACTCTGACAACTGCTGAAAGTGTCACCTTTGTTCAGAAAGTGTCAGGGACACAAGAAACCTGACAAATTTAGCTTGTCTTTCTCCCACAGGCCACAATGAACTTGTGACTATGGGTGAAGATAAGCCTCCTTTTGCTGGCTTACACAATCTCACAGATAAACTCAAAGTTGCACAGAGCTGTTGACACACAAGATAGGACGAGCATGTAACGCTGTATTTGTGCTGTGCTTGGAGGGCAAGAAGAAGCAACAAACAAGCCTATGGAACTAAGGGAAACTGATCCCTCCCCTCAAACACACACAAACAATGTTAATAAGTAATGTTATCATTACTAACTTCACAAATGAGAACTACTTTCATTCTGCAACTATAGAACTTATAGAACAACTTTTTCATTTCTAGGGAAGATGAAAAGATTCTTGCAGAACAACAGGAGATCCTAGCTTTGCTCTCTTTGACCCTTAACACTCCTCCACCCTCCCTTTTCCCCAGGGCTACTTTTTTGTCTCATGTTCATATGGGATATTCTACTGAGGGAAATCCTACCACACACACAGACTCCAGAGATTGCATCCTGCCACAGCACAAGCAAGAGCAGGGAGACATCAGAAGATCAGGTTAAATAGAGTGCAGAACAGAGGAGTACTTTTGTGTGAAAGTCTGTCCATGGAGTCAGAAAATGGGGATCATAATGTCTCAGGACCTCAATGTACAAAAAGGATAAATCTTTCACTGAAACAGTGACAAAGGGGTATAAAAGAAAAATAACTTTCAATGAAGCCTAAAAGTAGATCTGATATAGACCAATGCTTCAGATGTCAGATCACAAGTCTGCCTCCTAGAAACACCAAACAACAGCAATCTACACACACCAATGCTTCAGATGTAGCAATATATCAGATCACAAGTCTGCCTCCTAGAAACACCAAACAACAGCAATCTACATAGTACAATGATGCATCAAATTGCCTTTTTTTTTTTAAGGTTCATTCTATTCCACTGCTAGCAAGACAAAAATTCCACCTTAGCCTAGCCAAGCAGAAAGCAAGGAAGTTGAATCAGCAGTAAATCTGTTTCAGTTTAAGTAGGGGTTTCAGAGAAATCACCTGGAGGCTGGGAACCTAAACAAGTTTGCTAAGGGATTAAATATTTACTTCCCCTCCCACCTGTTAAAAAAGAACAAGGACATTTGTTTCCCAACTGCACTTTTTTACCCCTGTAAGCATCATCCACCTGGACATACAAAATAGTCCCATCGTGTGCAAAAGCGCAATTTTAACCCATTCCATCACAGAGGAACCTGTCTTCATCATTCCCAAACATACAAGAAAATACATCAAATTTCTGAATAATCCAAACTATAACTTCAGGATTTTCAAATCAGTTAATTTTATTGATTCTGCAGGGATGAAGTTTACTGTGCTGTAAAATGGTTATGGCAAGAAGAATGGTGCCCAGAAGTAAAAAATGTATTTTTTTCCTATTTAAAAGAGAAAACACCTCTCTGCCCTCTTGACTTTGAAGAGCATGGTGGGAATGACTGGGACACCACCTCCCCTGCTCCTGGCCTTGCAGAGGGTGTGAGCTTGATAGGAACACACAGTGCTGAACTCAGGTTCTTCATCTGCTCTACTCAACTGTTGGCAGAAAGATGCATTCCTCACCAAGAATTCTCCCCACAATCTACTGTTAAGCAATACCTATTAAATTTATAATACCTATTAAATTTATAATACCTGGTAAAATTATTTCCTAGCTCATAAGCTTATCTGTAAAGACAGTAATAAACACCTGTTATTACAGTAAGCAAAATACTAGTCTCAGACAAGACAGACGGAATTGAGGCTCTGATAAGGGTCTTTGGCTATCAGTCCTAAACATACAAAATATGCAAATTTAGTGTCCTGGTTTGGGACAGATTTGGGAGGAATCCCAGGACACTCAGGAACTGCAAAATACAAACAACATGAGCTTTAAACAGAACACTGCTGAATTATTGTGTACACTCTCTGTGCCTTTTAGGGCATAAAACTGAAAAGGCAATTCTTCTCTGAAATTACTATTTAATTTTCTTTATGAACAATTTACATGCACATGGACGTGAGAACAGGATATGTATTTCCCTAATGTAACTCAAGAGGAAGACATTTATAGCACCACCTTCTCTTCTCAAAACTTAGGCTTCCTTCTTCTAAAACTACAAAAAGACAGCAGACAAACTAAACACCCATTTTATTTGTTGCAAAGGCACTGTGTATATTTCTGAACCATCACTCTACTTGCTTCCCCTAACAAAATGCTTGTTGTAGATGCATTTGAATGCCTCAACAACTGAAAATTGCTAAAAGCACCAAACAGAGAGTACAAGTACTTCTACTCACCAACTGAAGTCTGGACCATGTTTCCAGATTTTTGGACCTCATCGAATTTTGTAAAAATTACATTCAACCTATTTGAAAGTTAAAAAATATACAATGAACAACTGAATTTACATTTTAGGAATATCAGAATCATAAAATCACTAAGGTTGGAAAAGACGTCTAAACCATAGAGTTCAACCTTTAACCCAGCACCACGATGTTTATTACTAAACCATGTCCTCAAATGCAACATCCACATGGCTTCTGAACACTTCCAGGGATGGTGATTCCACCACTTCCCTGAGCAGCCAAATTCTAACATCTTATGATCTCATAGAAGAGATTTGGCTTCACTCAGGTCATTTGGAGCACTGTCAAAAATGTCAGCAGAAAATGTCAGTGCAAGGAAGTAATTTTAAAATTTAAAAAAAAAAAAACAACAACATCAACACACAAAAGTTGAAAGGAAAGCCTGAGATACAATTGAAAATACTACATTGCTGAGGATGTGATATGGCAAATTGGAGATGAACTTTCAGTTTATCACCACTTTTTCTATCTTAACTATTTGCAGAAATACCACAAAACACACCCCTAAAAACCACCTTGACACAACATTTCTCTTTGGCCCTGACACCTTCCCATTTATGCCACAGGTCTAGCAGAGCAGAAGGTTCTTATCACATCTCATCATTCCCTCCCAGTGAGTGTATTACTTTAAGGCACATTGTGGGAGCAGATCTTTCCACTGGAGGGCAAGAGGCAACAGTGCTGCCTCCACCTGCGTGCTCCCCAACTCCAAAACCACCTCTTCCCTCTGAGCACTGACAAGCTGCCATCAGCTCCATGCTCAGGGCTAACCACGCTCTGCCCTGAGCACTGGAGGCAAGATGCAGAGCAGCTTTCTAATACACCTGAAACAGCAGAAGCAGAGGGACGTGGCTTCGGTTTTAATGTAAGTTTGGTTGCTTTTTGAGGTGTGGGTGGGGTTTTTTGGAGGGAAAGGGGGCAGAGGAGGGAAGTTACTTTTAAAAAAAAATAAAATCTTAAAACTGATTATTCTGTTTGTGGGTTTTTGTTGTTTATGACAGTCTAACTTGCATAAACACAAGCTACTCTGAAGTGTCTCTACATATGCAGAGCATACAACAAAAATATTAATTCCCTTAATCATAAATCAGTTAACTAAACATAACACAAGCTACTCTGAAGTGTCTCCTTTCTACATATGCAGAGCATACAACAAAAATATTAATTCCCTTAATCATAAATCAGTTAACTAAACATCTGTAATAATTTTTGTGGTTTTTCAAAGATGCTGTGGCATACTTGGGCAAAGGTACAGGATCTGCATTGAGTAAATCTGAGTGTTTATCGGCTTAAAAAATAAAAAAAAATGAACCAAGAATCCCGGGAAAAGGCTCAGTCATGAAGTTCCTGAAGTCTTCTGAAGGAAGGAAGGGAATAAAAATCAGCCCAAAAATAGTGAAGACCTAAGTACATTCTCAACTTACCGAGACTGGGGCAATCCTTTTTTACTGAGATCAGCTCTTACACGTTCACCAACATGTCTGTAAATTTCCACAAGGCTGTTTATTGCTGCATCTCGAACCTGGACGAGATACATGAGAGAAATCAATCATCTTTACAATTTAAATTAATAAACCCCTAATAAGTCCTACCTGAGAGAACTAAATTTGTCTATTTCTCAGCAGCTATACACATTACCACAAAGTTCATGAAGGAGCTTCCAGCCCTGCCTTTCACATGTTAACAGTACCAGCAGGTAATTGAATTGAAAAGGCAGTGAAGGTGTAAGATGAAAGGTTTCATACAAAAGGAGCTTGGCTGCCTTTGCCAAACTCCTCCCACTGTATATAACAAGTACATTTACTGCACAAACAGACCTATATTACTGGGATATTATAAAATAAAGTGGTTTGTAATGTGTCTTAAAAACTTACACTTCTATGTTGACAGCAAAACAGGGAGGAAGGGAGGAGTAATCAATCACCTGAGTCATCATGAATTTTGCATATTTCTTGCAAAACTGATTTGCAAGAAATTGCTGAGCACATCCTTCCTTCCAGTCAAGAGAAGAGACATAAATCTGATTAAAGTGTCACCTTTCTGTACTTAAACCCTTCTTCCACTAGACACAGCAGGCAGAGAAGGTAAACAAACTATCTGCTCTGCCTACAGAAACACTGACTGTGCACTTGTGCTTCTCAGAAGATGGCCCAGCAGGTAGCCCCACACACACCCCAGGAACAGACATGGAATACCCTGAGACACGAGCTAGAATTGCCTATAGGTGAGAGTCAAAGGGCAGGCACACATACCCTGCCTCCTAGCCAAAGAGAACCCTAACACTTGACTCTCGCCCGTTCTCCTGCTGCACAGCCTTTCTGCTCAGCAGGTCCCTGCCAGCCTCCAAACCCCTCCTCCAGGCATGCCAGCCCTTACTCAGCACTCCTGCCCCTCTTCTCCTGCCCATGAGCCCCATTTGCCACCAAGGCTGCTGGGCACAGCAGTCTGTGGGGACTCTTTGGTGCCCCCAGTTTCTGGGCACACAGACCCCAGCCCAGCCTGAGCACTGCAAGGATTGCCTCTGTGTGTACAGTAAGGCAGAGGCACAGCTGCAGGACTGTAAATCCCAAGGAGCACAGCAAGAAGCCCCCACCATCATACTTGGTTCAGTCAAGCACAGCAATACCAAAGCTGTAGTAATTTTATTTTTGAGAAAATGATCAGAGTTTAAGTACTGTTGTCACACCAGATGCACACTGGGTTACTCAATCGCATCAGCTGAAAACAATGAAAGCGCTATTTTTGAAAAGGGCTCTGATGGAACAGCTTCCACATCCGCAACAAAAGAAAAAAAAACTGGACTTGATCTGGAATTGTTTCTCGATCCTCTCCAAGAGAGGGCAGCAGTCTCCCAGCGCTCAGGAAGCACCAGCAGCACAGCAGCAGCTCCAGGGGAGCGCAGGAGCAGCCCCTGCCCCAGGGCAGACACTGTCTCACACAGAGCCACTGTCACAGCGATTTCTGTCCGACCAATTCAGGCACAGGCTTTCTGGGGATGAGACACCAGACCCAGGAGAAAGAGATCAGCCTTGTTTCCCCCTGCAGTTGGATACAGGACAAAGAGCTGTGCCTGGCACAAGGAAGAGGCAGCGCAGAAGAAAAATGTCTCAGTGCCCTCACCAACTTTCCAGTTAATTCAACAGCTCAGCTATGGCAGGACCAAGGCACCTGTGTGCTTATCAAGTCCAAACCCTAAAACCAGGATTTCCTTGGAGGGTAACAGCTTGCTTAGTCCCAGCTCAGAACTACAGAGGACCCTAAACATTAAATTTCTTGGAGTAATGAGTTTACCATCCTTTAGTGGCACAAGCAGCAAGGGAAGGCTGCTTCACCCTCAGTCCTCCTCTTAGCAAGGGGAGACCCTGACAGCCATGGAAATATGGCCAACTCCCCAGAGCAAACACAAACCCATTCTCCAGCTGGATACCCCACACCTCCTTCCAGCTGAACACCCTCTCCAGACCTGGATCACGGATGTGTCACCCATGCTGGCAGAACAATCAACAGCATTATTCAAAAACTGCCAGTCCATATTACACAATTAATTTGAACACTACTTCTTCACCTCCATCTCCTCACTAATCCCACATACTTGCACCTAATTCCAAACAAGACAAAAAGCACTTAGGAGCAACAGATTTTATTCCACTTGCATTTTCATTTGGGTTGCATTGCTGATTAAAGGTCGTGGTACACATTGTCTTCACCTCCCATTCAGAAACTGCCTGTACAACTTCTGGCAGTGCACATAGCCAGGCTGTCTGGCCCCATTTGCCCTCCCTGCCCAGACTGGTTTCTCTCTGAAGGTGAGGGGTGCTGCACTGAGCCCAGAGGGATCCCTGCAGCCTCTCCTGTATTCAGGCTCCAAGGTACAGGAGTTCCCTCCCCACAAAGGTTTCCCTCTTCTGTTCATCTCACCTGCAGATTCATGTTGTTCTGCTGAACCCTTGGAGTAACTGATATGCTGTTTTGGGCATACTTCAAATTACACCTCTCCAAAACCAGCCAATAGTTCGGTGTGCACAGCACTGTTCAGAGTTCACCAGCAGCAGCACAATTAGCTCATTTACCAACAAGGGAACCAGCACAACCTTTAGATGTGACTCACAGCAAAAGCTCACCTGGCTGTTTGGATCTCCAAGTAAGTTACATATATGTGGCACTATCTTACTCAGTGTTAAACTCTGAGCTCCAGATCTGGAATAAAGAACAAAAAGCACCATTATGAATCAGAGAAGGTTCACGTACACAACACATGAGGTTTGCAGAAGGTCCTGACTTACGCATTGAGTGTTGCAATAAGGCAGAGGCAAATCCCTTCTCTCGTCCGAAAATTCTTGTGTTTGAATCCTCCTAGCATCCTGTCCCACACGTACTGTGGAAGACAGGAAAGAGAAAAAAATGAGATGGGGTAAGAAACAGATTCTGTCTTCCAGCAGACATACACCACACCACCTCTGGAGCTCAGATACAAGCTTTACACCCATCCAAGCAGAACAGGACAAAAAGGAGCAAGATACCTTTAGACCTGACTAATTCTTTGTTTTGTGCTGACTTCACAGTAACTTCCCACTACCTAAAACAATACTCATAATTACAAAGCAAGTACCTTCCAAAAACCTGGAACAGTAACTTCTGACATATGCCCCTCCCCTCCTTGGGAAACACACTGACATGCTCCCATTCGTATCCTGCCAGGCAATAGCTTTCCCAAGTGAAGTAAACATCTTATAACAATGTGTAGGGAGATGAAGCCATTTCAGACAGAAAAATGGCAGAGAAAACCTTCTGAAAGAAAAAAGGTTTCCTTTTTTCACACAGCCAGTCACTCATGCTGTGGAACATACCTGAGGGTTAGCAGCTTGTTCCATGATTTTCAGCAGCAAGGTCTGATCCTGCTCCCTCACTGAGTCCTTAGAATCTCCCAGCCTATCAAGTAAACTTGGCAGCACTAAGGAAACAAAACAGGAACATTCAAATTCCTCAGGAAAAAACTGTAACAACGGTAGAGCCCCACTGGTCTCCCCCTAAAACCCAGAGGAGGCACCAGCCTTGCTGCCCTTCAGCAGAGCATGAAAACCCCCAAGAACCTCCCAAGTGCTCTCCTGGGAAGAAGGACAACTCTGAGTCCAGCAGCCAGTGCAGGTGCCGGCAGAGTGACGGTGACACTCACACGGAGACCCCTCACCTGTGCCAATCTGGGCCTTGAAGCGATCTTGCAAGCGGGACACCAGTGCAGAGATGATGTCAATCCCCAGCAGAACCACCTGCAAGCACAGAACAGGCAATGAATTAAGAGTGCACTGCAACTGTAATTACTGCTCGGTGCTAAATTCATATGTATAGATATGCAAGGTACACAAACCATTTCAGTATTTGCTGTAACTAGCATTTCTAATTCCACTGCTATTATTACAATTAGAAAATGGTATGCACTAAGAGTTGCTTAATTATTTACTGGCAGAAATTAAACCAAACGCTTCTATGATGTAACAGGAATTCAAAAAAAGACACCTAGTTTGAGAGAAGCTTCATGACAGGCTGCAGATCAGAAAACCTGCTCTGATTAACTAAGCGTACTTATTAAAAAAAGGTACATCACATACTGAATAGCCTGTGTGAAATACTGTGTAGCCCGTATGTGAAACACTTCACAAAACTCTATAGATGATCATTGTGCTGGCACAAGACACTTCTCCCCAAGTTTCTGGATAAGAACCGAGGTTAATCACCCCTGGAAGTGTTAGGGACGGCCAGGCTTCTGAGGTGGTGCCACCGGGACTGTCCCAGCTCCCTTTACGTACACACAAGTGTACAAATATACAAAACCAGCCAGGACAGTGGTCATGACCTCAAGCCTGCCGGGGCTCAAGAAATGTTTGGACAAGGCTCTCAGGCACACAGGGGATTGTTGGAGCTGTCCTGTGCAAGAGCCAGGAACTGCAGCTGATGATCCTTGTGAGCCACTTCCAGCCCAGGATATTCTATGACACTGTCACACATACATATATTTATACTCCCGTGTGTACAGGTATGCAGCTGTTGCACACACACACACAGAGGTGTCTGCACAAAGGCCTCTCGGTGCCCGTACCGGGAGCACAGTTATCCCTCCCGCAGCCGCGCCTTACCGGCGCGCTCACCGGAGCCGTGCCCTGCACTGCCGCGGCCGCTCGGCAGAGGGCGCGTTCCGTCGCCGCTGCCGCCGAGCGGTGGCCCCGCCCTCTATGCAAATCAGCGCCCGGCAGCCGCGGAGCACTCTGGGTAGCGCCGCCGCCAAAGGATTCGAACCTGGGTCGGAGCCGCCCGGGCGCGCCGGGCCCCGCGCGGTGCGCGCCCCCGAGGCGGGCGTCGGGCAGCGGGCGGGCCGGGGGCGCGCCGCCCCTCGCCGGGACCCAGGCGCGGTTCGCGCTCCCCTACGGGCGGCGCGCCCCAGCGGCCGCCAACCGTCCTTATCTGGGGGTTGCGCGGCTGCTCAATGAGCGTGTGGCGAGAGCAGCCCTGCTAACGCCTTAAACAACACAGCAGCGCCCGCTCCGTGCGCGGCGCAATTTTTGGAACCTCGCACCGCGGCGTGTGCGCGGCGCGTTCTGAACAACGCTCGGCTTGAGCTGGACCGAACTCCCCGAGGCGCTGTGCGGGGCCCGTGCGGTGCTGCGAGCCCTTAGCAGCGCTCCCGGCTCCCGGCACCGCCCCCATTGTCCCTTCCCCCTCCACCAGCAGCGCTGCTCCCACCGCAGCCCGTGCGGGGCTCCCGCGGGGCTGCTCCGCGCTGAGCCCGTGCGCTACTGCAGAGTCCACAGCCCTCAGCCTGTCACATGGATTCGCTCCAAATTCGGCTCCGGATCACCCAGGGAACCATGCATCGTGTGGCAGGGGAAACAGCCTACTACTCCATGCCAAGTCTCCTGTGAAAAAAACCTTCCTAAATACAAACCCTTGGATCCTAACTTCTTCCAGCATACAACTTCACCTTCTCCAAAAAGTCTACAGTCTTCTCCCCCCACAGTAACAGACCCTTCAACACTGTCAATTTTTAATTTAACATCATTTATTCATACACCCCCAGCATACAACTTCACCTTCGCCAAAAAGAGTCTACAGTCTTCTCCCCCCAGAGTAACAGACCCTTCAACACTGTCAATTTTTAATTTAACATCATTTATTCATACATCAAGGAAGATTTTTTTTCCCTCGTGTTTTTATTAAGCTGTGTTTCGCTTTCACAATCATCTCGCACACTGGATTTAACCTACCCTTGCCAAATGCTCAGCCAGCTGCCCTAAGGCCTATCGCTGCCTGTGTCTGCCAGCTCACTGGGAGCTCCTGCCTGGGGTCTCGCAGCAAGAGGGTGGGCTCCAGATCCTCATCAGTGGAGAGATGCTTTTAGGGAAAGTCAATGGGACTCTGAGTGCCAGAGATGTGCCTCAGGGATAAATTCGATCCCGGGAGAGGAAGGAATCCATCTCTTCTTCAAACTGTCACCATTCACAGCTGTCTGATCAGAGACCCATCACGGCGGCATCCTGCACAGAGATAAGTGTGCTGCCTGCAATTACAGAGATGTGCCCCAGGGATAAATTCGATCCCGGGAGAGGAAGGAATCCATCTCTTCTTCAAACTGCCCGAAAGCCAGGAAGAGTGAGGGGAACTCATCACTCAAACATGAAAGGAAACACATGCACAGTGCAAACATACCCTGCAGTTCACCCCCAGGATAAGGCCAGGAGGATGAGCTAAGCCTTGCACGACTTTTTGCTGTTATAAATTAGCACAATGATTACAGTGGTGCTTGGACAGCTATTGAGGAAACAGCAACTGGGGTGACCAAATGTTACTCCCGACTATGCTGGATTCATTTATCAACCCCAATGTGACACCTGCCTCAGAAGGTCAGAGGCAGAAAGTAGAAATCGTGTATGGATTGACAGAGTCAACAGATCCGCTACAGACAGATAACAGACAACCGAGGGCATGGCTGGCAAATGAACAAAGAATTAATTGAATTCCAGCCCTGGCTGCTCTGGACGGACTGCACTGAAGAGCTCACCCGTTCACTGCTGGAACAGATACTGAACTCTGCCTGAATTAACACACACCACGGTCCGGGAGGAACCTCGGGAGCAGCGATGGGCCCTGCCAGCAGCCATCCCCCACTGCCATGATCCCGACGAAGCCTCTCCCCAGGGAAGCCAGCTGGTGGGCACAGCTCCACACCAAGGCACAGGAAGGGCAGCCCTCCATCCGAAATTCCAGATAATGCTGCAATGCTGATAACTACAGAGCTATTCCAGGCCTTTACATCAGCACAGATCTTTTAGCCTCCTATTTACACGGCCCCCAAAAGAGTGATCTCAGAATCAGAGTGACAGCCCTCGGCCTGAGGGTCTGCTTCTGCTCATTTGATTCCTGAGGTTCCCCAAGACAGGCAATAAAGCAAGCTGTGCCACCCAGTATTCAGCTCATTTGGCATCTGCTGCTGCTTTGTCTTGTCTCAGAGTACTTTCTGTAGGCGCCAAGGGCTGTCAGCAAACCCTTCTCCTGCCTCTCTCCAACTGCCAGGTCATCTCTCCCAGTAAAGAAGTCTCTTGTTAGTTTGCAGGATGCAACACAGCCTTTCCCAATACAGACAGTACTTTTTTTCAGAGGTCAACAAAAACAACTCAAAGCATCTGTCCTTTAATATCTGGGCGGTGTTGAAAGACTTGCAGGCAGCTCCCCATATCAGAGAGCTGACAGTGCATCATCATCTGCTCCAGCAGTACATGGTGACCAAGCATGGCAGACAAATCCACCCAGTTTAAAACAAGACACACCTTAACACACTCCCATGAAAGGGTAAAGAAGCTGTACAATCCAGCAACATCTGATTGAGCAGATAGAAACCAGAATGAATCAGCTCCAGGATACCTTGATGGCCTGGACAAACTGGGGGGAGACAAGCCTTCCCTCCACTCACCATGCCACAGCAGGGATGTGGTGGTGGCTGCAGGAACCTTCATCCCCTCTCTTTGCAGGGAAGCAGCAGTGGGCTGAGCAGTACAAAGTCACTGCTCTGATGGCCTCCTGCTGAACCTTCATGCCTGGCAGCTTGGGACCTAAATGGGAATGCTGGAGAGAGCTTCTACAGCAGCTGTGACACCAGCTTGTTTCATGCTGCTTGCCACCACTGGTGACGCAGCTTAGCTATTTCACTTTGAAGTCTGTCTGAGAGGTTTTCTTTGGAGAAGGGATGGGAAATGGAAGACAAGACTTCTAAATGTCAATATGAAAAAAAAAAGAACTGTAAGAGTATTCAACCACAGGGGTTTTTTTTAACAGTTGCTTAATCTTTTGGATTCATAAGCAAAAACATGGAGAAGGCCTTGCATACTCAGATTACTTTTAATATACTTTTCAGATTACACACTGAGAAGTCCAAGGCAAGCATAGATGGCTCACATCACTGCTGGTCTGATCAGTGCTGATCAGTCAGAGAGGGAGCAGTTCTAATTCCTTGTGACATGAAACATCCACCACAACTGAACTGGGCACTCAAGACCAAGCTGAAGTTAGAGAATATTGGCAAATTTAGTTTTGAAGCCTGGTATTTGGGGTCAGCACAGCAGTAACCAAAGTCCTGTCAGAGAAACCTGGAATCAGCTTCTGAAATGCTGCATCTCACCTTATAGTTGCACACAACTATAATTGCATCCACGCTGGAACAGTCCATCTCCTTCTGCCATTCCAAGAGTTAACATTCATTTTCCAAGGCAGCACCACATCTGCACTGGAAGCATGAGTCTATCTCCCCAGCCCAACAATCTTCACACAGACACAGATGCTAAGGTTTTTTTGTACAACACAATTTGCAAAACCAACACCAGCAAAGAAAAAAGCAGCAAGAGTAGCACAACTGGTTACACTGGCATGACTGCAAGCTACGGTCAAAGAGGTGAATGGGGGAAAACTTTAAATATATATTCTTGGGTTTTTTCTCTAGATTGATAAGATACCATCCATTCTGTTGCAGACACCACCTTGAAAAATCCTCAAATTCCCTAATGGAATTAGGTGAACCGAAACACCCAAACCACCAGCACTTGTTAAATAAGCAAAAAACTGGTTATTGAAAGTTCTTCATTTACAAGCCTGGTAACAGATGAGCAACTCAGTAAAAAATGCATCATTCTACAGTGAAATAAATTCCAAGAGAGCTAAGGTCATTTAAATGTTGGGAGACATTAAGAAAAGGTTGTCAGAAATAATTGCTACAGAGATGTATTTT